CACCATGTCTTTTTTACACGGAAGAATGCGCCGCATTTTCTCCGCGTTGCATTGCATTATTGATGGACGGACGCGCATCACGAGGCTTGGTACAATTTTATTCTCGTTTCTCTCTCGTCCTACGAGAGTTACGAAGCCGATTTGGCTCGTAGTCTTTCTGCTACTTCTCTCTCCCTTTCATCCTCAACGTGAATCACGCATGTTTCTTTCGCATTTATTGTGCGTGACGCGTTCACGTGCACGTCAAGGGTGGAACGGAAAAGTGGTATCGTACTGACGGAGAAGGGAGGATGGCCGGTTCTCTACCACCAAAGAAATATCGTTTTTCTTCTATCGACTTGCTTACGCTTATTTCCCGATCGAGAGATCGCGATCGCGACGGCTCATGTTTCATGGAAGATTCTTAGAATCGAACGGCGAAAAACACATGCTATTTCCAGTCTACGTGAGCCTTTCGCTATCTCATCCGTCGCTCTCGATTATTTCCTTCCTAATAAATAGACAAAAAGGAAATGTGTCATTGAACGAAGTTATCCTTCTCGCAAATTTTTATTTATCCGAAAGGCTACCGTTGAGACGCGTCAAACAAATAACAACGTAACACTTGGATAAATTAAACTACAGTATATAGCGAGCTTGTATTTTCAAGATAATGAAAACAGAGCTAATCTCGACATTAACCTTCCTCAATGTACCTCACAAAGTTCATTTGACGTTCTATTTATCGATTATCTTATAGAATATATCATAATATATATATATATATATCTAATGTTTTCGTTAAAAAATCATTTGTATATTCTTAAAAATCAAACATGTAAACAATTTGTAAAGTGAAATATGGGAAAGCTTCGTATTTTGTATTACAAATTTCTCCTGGTAAAAATAAATACGGGTTCGTTTTAAAACGCGGAATTAAATAGATTAATGCGAAAGAAAGATAGCCAATGCACCGTAAGGAGTCAGCACGGTTTCTTCTTTCACGTCGCTTACAAGAAAATCTTGTTTACGATGACCTACGGGATTCTATTTTGATCGCGGAAACGTTTCTCTTGTGAAATAGAAGCGTGTTCGCGACCATTGACGCGAAACGATAGGAAAACATCGGATCGCACGTCGATCGCTCTCGCGGTGTCCAGTGCCAAGGCCTACTTTACAATCTTTTTTCGCTCGTCGAGTTCTAATTCATCGTCGTCGTCGTCGTCGTCAAGTGAAATCCCTGATACCTCGAAAACTCGAGAATAAATGGAAATAAATTTTCGATAAGTCTCCCTTATTTTTCAATTTTCATCCTTTTACAAATGTACGTATTCCACAACAATCTATGTAACTGTAATACATACAAATAAGTTCACACGGTAAACTCTCATATAATACAAGAAAAATATTCTGACAATATTCATATATCATGGTAAAAAGTGTTCGTATAAAATTTCTTTATATCAAAATTCACATTTTGATATAAAGAAATTAGCACAATTAGAAAGAATATCCTAAACAGTAACGTGAATGTTTCTCAAATAATCATCGTAAAATAGCGTTCTATATTCAGTGTGCAAGTACGATGAAAGTTAATTGGGTTGAAATTGCGATAGTAATTAATCCGCGAGAAAAATATCCTTAATATAAGAATACGAGGTGAACGAGATAAAAGTAAATATATATATATAGGATAAAATATATAATACTGCAGGCGTATTTTAATGTTCACAAGTTTACCATGGCAGTTAACATTTTACAACAATATAAACCTCCTTTTATACGATCTAAAATTCCTGATAATCATTTAAGCTTAATTTAATCATAATGAATCTTACGATGTTTAAAACATTCTCGAAGAAATTCTCAATAATTCACCTTACATATAAACAGTTATAGTAGCATCCGCTATATTTTTGAATTATTTATGTATCAATAAGACGGTTGATGGTTGTGCCTAAAAATAATTAGTATCGGAAGAGAGAGAGAGAGAGAGAAATACGTATGTTACGTTCAAATTGCAAAGTGCTTTGTTTCCAAGAAATTCGCGGCGAGTGGAAACAAAAGCAATGAAGAAAATGCTCCTCTTGTTGACCTTGAGGAATATCGCTTTCTACAAGAGAATCCGTTTCGCATGTATGTGTGTACTATTCTCGTTTTCGGATGACACGTTGGATATGTGCTTTCCGGAGGGCACGACGAGCGGATACTTTGTTTGGGTCCGCAATTGGCTGCACGACGAAAGAACGGAAGACTCATAAAATAAAGAAAAGAAATAAGCAAGCAAACAAGCGAGCGACCTGACTAAACCTGAAAACGACGAATACTTGAAGGCCTCTTCAAGAACCACATATATTATATGTATATATACATATATATATACGTATGTCCGTATAAATATTTATTTGCTTAATCATTTTTTTTGTATTATTATCGTTAATATACGAGACAATTCATTCGTAAGAGAATTTTTTAATCAATTTCGAAAAAATATTCCTTGAAGAACGATTCGTACAATCATTAATAATATGATCGTGCTAATGAAGATGTTTCAAAGGCCGATTATTGTTAGCAAGATAGAAGAATCCGTCAGGACTTACATATGTAAGAAGAAATGAAAGTATGACGCGAACGCGGACAATGCCATAACGGATTTACGTAATAGCCCATCACAAACATGTGCGAACGATGTCGAGGCCATGGATATAACGTGCGAGTTCCTCATTTAATTAATCGTCGAATAGGCTAAATAATGATCGAAAAGGTTCGTTAAATTTTCGATACGATAAGATTCCTTGTGTGATCCGACGTCGATGTATATATATATATATATATATATATATGTGTGTGTGTATTATAATCCACAAAAAGAAAAAGGAAAAATGATCATTCGTATTTGAAATTTCAACTTATCGTTTCGGAAGCAGCGCAACATGTCCATCGTTGCGATGTCCTTGATATCACAAAAGGATGCTAAATTACGTAGGAAATACCAAGGCTATTAATTGCATCTTGGACCTTGAAATGATAATAATTATAGTGGAAGTGAAATTTAGCGATACGTGCTGTTATTTCTCTTTGAAAAAGTCCTCGTAGCTGGTATTGTGATAGCAATTATTCTATACTATTCGTATCTGTTGAAATATAGAACGGTGAAAGCGATCATACAAAAATATCCTATCGATACGTCGCTTTGAAGATAATAAAGAAAAAAAAGAATTAATTAGTAGCTTCTATTTGCGAATTTTTTGTACAATTTTTTCTATTTATATAAGTATTGTACATTGAAACTTAATTATCATCAATAATTAATATTAAAAAGTCATGACAATTATACATCCCTTTTCTTTTTCGCTAATGAATATTCCTTAATGATAATGTTCATTGAAGGTATGAATACTGAATTCGCGCGTTATATTACAATTTCTAAATAATTCAATTTTAAGATGAAATGAAACAGATTTTGACAGACATAGAATATCTCGAAAAGTTAAATCTATTCAAATATTTTTCGCTATATATAGTTACATTATAATGGGGGAATAATTTAATAAAACTTCTTCTCAATATGTGTAATCGATTGCAACGATTGTTATTAAACAAAACGGATAAGCTAGCAAATATTATGAAAATATTTTTATTGTTAATAAATAATGAATGTATTTTTATTATATTTTTGTAGCATACGAATTCTATATTGATACCATCTATAAATATTATCAAAGATAGTATATAACTTTATTAAATAAAGAAATATTATGATTTTCTTATCTACACATAATAAATTATCATAATAAAAAAATATGTCAGAATTTTTGACATTTCCTTTAGAATTGGTTAGAATATAAGATAGTACTACTGCGTGCGGACCGAATATTAAAGATTTACTCACCATATATTCTATCACATGTTTCGCGTCCGAAAGTTTGTTCTTGGGTAGAACAAAGTGCAGAGATGCGGTTGCTTTGACGTACACTAAAAAAGATCTGTCTCGAATTTTATCTTTATTGATAAATTTTGTTTTTATTTTTAGTGTGTCATACTAAAAATACTATTTCTTGAGTTATTCAATTCTTGTTTGTGTTTGTTTATAACCGTGCTTTAGAATAATCAAGAATAACTGACGAATAATTCAGAATAATTTAAGAGTAACTGAAAATAACTGAGAATAACTGAGTGAAACTGACGAGTGCGTTCTCAGCCGTGCAGTAAGAACTTGTCCTTAATTCTCTTAGAGATGCGAGGACGAAATTAAATAAAACGGTGCAATCTAATTAGTTGCTGATTTCGAAAAAAAAAACTCCGCCCTTATGATTATACAACAAAGACATGGGTAAAGATGCAAGATACAGATAACGTCATGAAATATGAAAATATAATATATATGAGCACATGCAGAAATATAAGAGCATATGCAAAAATATGTGATATCTGTAATAAGTTTACTTTTTTAATATTGTCTCAGATATGATGCATTGCTTCGCAAAATATCGCTGTATTCAACGCGAAGAGGTGCTTTCACAAATATTATTTCTTTAACCGAAGATATCAAATTGTTTACTAACATAAAAAGGAGACTCAATGCTTTTGCTAAACTCTGTTTAATCCATCGGCTGCGCATTTTACATGAAACAGATTTAATTTATCAGTAATTTTTTTAATATAACTTTTATCATGAAAGCATATCATATTGGTAGTAATATGGCTCATAACCAATCGAGTTTAGGACGAAAGTATTTTGTCCTGTCCTTGTCTGCGGTTCGAATTTTTCATGATGAAAATCTTTCATTTGTAAGAATATTCAAGAAATCTAAAAGAAGAACTAGATAACTCCTTTACAATTGATATCATTTAGATATTTTACGAATTTGTATTATTTTATTTCGAAACTACTTTTCGAGACATATGATCAACAGATACACTGTCGTCCTAATCACTCTTATGGCTAATATATCCAGCTTTAACGCTCGGTATTATCTTTAATAAGAATTACACAATAAGTATAATTTTAACTCACTAACCGACATCGACGATGTGCTGAAGAGTCGGGAAACGTCTCTTAACCCTCAGGGAGATCCTCTGAAGGGTGATAACATAGGCCAAAACGGCATACCTCACGATATTCCGCCTCATCAGTCGTCCTCTCTCGTCCTGAAACATATAAATCGTTGACCTCGATCAGAATGATGATTCATATCTATATGTGCAATCGTTGTTTCGTACGAGCGACCCTCACACACTTATTTATCGGTATATGTTTACGTATATACCTTGTCCGAAAATTGCACGTTGTTCTCAACTGTATAGATAGGTTGATTGAACTATCACGATTCGCAGGAAAATTAATTGTTGTGGGATATTGTATAGTAATTACAAGTAAAACAACTGAAAAGATGTAATACTTGATTTCGAGGGTTTTGATGTTGGGTTGAATGTATCAGATAATTTGATTTCACAAGATTCTGTTGTAACGAGTATTCAAGATTGAGTGAACTACTCACAGTTCCTAAGTCAGAGGGAAAGCTTGTTTTATCATTGAGAAAAATGAATTCTTTCTGATTGGTCTCTCTAAGAATTCATGTCTTTTCTAAGGAGATATACTTTTACGTCAATAACGTGATACTGGTAGACGCTGTAACGGATCTGGATAACATTCGAAATAGATTATTTTATTGTATTTAGAGTTATATCTAGATATTTATTTAGATATTTTATATATTTAAATATTTTAGAGTTATATGTATAAAGAGGCCGAAGTTGATATCTTGAAACATATGTTTTCTCTTTTCTTTTTATTGATTTAATATATATTTACCACATAAATAATCTTGAAATCTCGACAAAATCAAGAAAAAAATTGTACCTTATAAGAATGTTAATACAAGTTTTGTCAAATGATCGTTTCCCATCGTCCGAAAACAACGGAGACATTTCAAATGGCCGAACAATACCTGTACGAACGCTATGCGAGTTTTTGAAAATTTTCAATGACATCGATGTAAATTGTTTACGCGTTAAGCGTTAGAAGGAGTAAGGGGAGAGGAAAAAAAAGTTAAGAAAAAGTACCTTCCTTCGGGGCGCAGAAGGCACGGATCTCGTTCGACAAAAAAAAAAAAAAAAAAAAAAAAAAAGAAAAAAAGAAAAAAAAACTCCGCTTCCTCGGTTGAACAAATGCAAGACACGTTTTCAGGACTCTCACGGCACTTTCCCCTCGTTCTCTCGTCAGGAACGACGCCCACGAATCTTCATCGTCGACGACGTACGCGGCGATTTTCGATCGCAATTTCGATCGATCGAAGAAAAATGTCCGATAAAACCGATCCAATTTTTCCTTTCATTTTTCAAATAAATATCTTTTCTAACGTCGTTTAGTACTCCTATCTCACTCTCTTTGTAATCGGTCGATGGCACCGGCACGATGTGGAAGACTCGATCACCCAACGGAATAACAATCCAATCGGAAATCTCGAGGATTCGAGTCTTGAAACTGTTCTTCGTATGTATGAAGGCTCTTCTCGGCGAGTCACGCGCGCGATAGTTCGAATCGATTTCCGTGGAATGTATTGGCTCGATAGATCGCCGATCGATTTATCATCATCGATGAGAAACTTCTTATACGTCGTCTCTTATTTCCTTCTAACCTTCTTCTTTGTTACCACTCTTTACGATCGTATTCAACGTCGCATAGCTACGAGATAAAGCATTTTGTACCTTCGACCACGTATTTTCGGTATAATGTATGTGCTAGACGCTGGAAGAAAGTTGTCGGAAGTCAAATTTTTGAGAGGCTCTCATAACACGTGCACGGTAAGCGTTACGCGAGCCACGTGCTGATCTAGAACGATCTGCTCATACAAGGAACGAGGAAGAAAGTTGCTCACTTTCGTGCGACGATATCATCGAAAGTTAATACAGTCTTGGAAATAAAGATGATCGATAGATCCTTCGTTCGATTCGATCTTTTCCTTCTAATTATTATTATCGAACAGAAAAAAAAAAAAGGAAAAGAAAAACATTGCTGATAGAAATAAATCTAATTTTTTATAATTACTATTACGTATTATTCGTCTGTCATGATCTGGACACCTGTGAGATCATTATATATATATATATAATTCCTTTGTTTTTGGGAATCTTTTCTTTCTTTATATACATAGTACATCAAAACGCTACTCTTAATAATTTATTCTTATTATTGAAAAAAAGGGGATTATTCTGAAAAAATATATTATATGTATATATATATATATATATATATATACATATAAATAATCGATAGCGTTTGTAAGGAAAAAAAAAAGATTGAAAAATATAGTCACGCGGTCGATAAGAGAAATTGATTCACACATCGTCGCGCGTCGTCCTACTTTCATTAATTTCACTGCACTTATGTCTCCTCTTTTCGAAGCATCCTTCAGTTCAATCCTTATATACTCCTCTTTTTATCGTTCTCTTTCTTTTTTTTTTGGTTATTCTTGATCTATAAAGAAGTATGTTTGCGGTGCGACATATGCCTCCTTATCCTCGGAATTCTGCGACTTATCGTCGTGCGTGTAAAAATGCCCGGCTTGGCAGCTTGGAAACGATCCTCCGACTATGTAAAGGTGGGAGTCGTACCATCCTCCTGGCCTCGGGTCTTGCATTCCAATTAGATTTCAATGAAAGGAACGTTCTAAGCTATGCTCGACTGCTGCTACCCACGAGACGTGGCTCATTCACAAATCGAGTACTTTGTATTACGCGATTACTCGCGAGCGCGCGTTCGTAATCGTGTCGCTAAGTCCTCTTTCTTTAGACCAATTGGAAGGACCCACTGTCCTTTCTCTCAGAATTAACAATGAAATTATTTTACTTTTTATCAACCTTTATTATATACTCCATTTTTTTTCCTTTTCATTTATAAATAATATAAAGAAGTATTATCAGAATCAGATTTCATTTTTAAGATAGTTCCTATTATAATTTCCTATTCTTCTATCCATTTTTATACAAACTAATATCATCTTTATCTAATATTATTAATACAATAATTATATAATTTCCTATCAACCTATACCCCATTTCTTTTCTTTTCTATATAAATAATATAAAGTCTTGTCGAGTTATTAAGATCGTAACTTTTAAAATAGTTTCTATTATTTAATTTCTTATTTTCTTATCAATTTTTTTAGCGAACTAATATTCTATACTGCAACTAATGTTTCAGGTGTCTGTTATTTGTTCAATTAATTTGTCATTAATCGTTTTACAACATCGTATAAAAGATTAAAGAAAGGATTTATATACTCTACATTTTTTGTTAATAATAAAAAAATAAACTATTCAATTCAATTATCTAATGTATTTCTGCTAACAATAATATATATTTTATAAACAGCAAAAGGATACAAATATTCAATGTACATTAATTAATAAATTAATATGAAACGCACAAAGGTGTAATATCACACGTCCACGTATAATACATATATATACATATATATATATATATATATAGTTTTCCTTGTTTACTTTACATATTTACCATATCACTTGTACTAAGTAATTAAAAAGAAAAGAACTTGTGATGTGGCATAGAATAGAAGCGACACTGTATGTATTTGACAACCCTCATCTATTCATCAATATTTATTACTCTACCTATTATAGATGTCAGGATCAATCTAAGAAGCGGAGTCTTTTGTAATTTTAATAATTATAAAATTCATCATCAATGAAGAAAAATCATCGTACACATCTAGGATAGTCGAGTTAAGTGTTTTATTAAATTCCACGGTAATTAACTTCTTCATAACGATAATAAATTACATTTTCTACATTCTCAGTTGGCAAAATACGGTATCGTCGTGGTACGATCGCGAGCAGACGGCGCGGGCTGTTTTCACCGGTGGCGTTCCGCTTGGAAATCGTAGCATTCCAACGTTTTGCGGCAACGAAACGAAAGTAACGTGGCCGAAAGTGGAGAAGCGAAGGCAAGGAAAGAAGAGGAATGAAGAGAGAGAGAGAGAGAGAGAGTTAAGAGGGGTAGACAGAGGGGGGTGTTGCATAAGAAAACGTTTAAAAAGTTTAGAGGCGACCGGTCTGCTGTTCTTGCTCCGTTAACACAACATCCGTACTAGCGATGGGATCGAGCATATCGCGACCAATAGATATCATTTCTTGCCTGTTCAACTTCGATACTTCATAAATATTTACTGAGCGAAATGACTCTCGCTTTTTTTTACATACAAATAATAATTTAATCATGTAAAATTGCCCATGAATTTCTTCGAATTGCATATTATATTCACACCATAACGCAATTCGAAGAAAAAAAATCCTTCTTATCTCAACTGCACAAAGTTATTCAAATTCCTAATATGAATATATGTACAATCATGATTCCTCGTATGATAATTTGATACTCGTCCCAAATGTCACTCAAAAGTTGTATTCTCTTTTCTTTCTTTCCTTTATTCTAGACGCATATCTCTTTAGTCAAAAATGATTTACAATTCTAATAGAGAATGTAGAATACACATATACATAATCTTCTTTTTTATTTTATAATTCCAAACCTCCTTAAAATTTCTAGATAACTAGAATTGGTGAAATTGTATGAAATGTGAAAGTTAATGGTTTCATAGAAGTAACTGATTAAAGCCGATTAAATGAAGATATTCAAGAATAATCAAGCATTTCTTTATCATAAATATATCTAAGGAGAGATGATCGTGAAAATGAACGTAGATGAAATTTCGAATGCATTTCGGTCCCATCGCTGGATCCATTGTAAGGCGGCAGCACTCGGCGTGCGTTTACCAGACGTTAGATAGATTATACGCGGAGGTGGTAGCGTCGGTGGTGCAACGGAGACCCGGTTTGGTCTCCGAAGGTTCGAGGAAGAAAGATGTACATACCTACTTCGCAGAGTTGGCGGTTCTCGAACGACGCGTAGGTTCGTCCTTCTTCTTCGGTCACTATACATTGCACTTTCTCTCGGCCATTGTGTCATTGACCAGAGCTGAAAGCTCGCTCTCGATCAAGAATAAAGTTCAAAGCGGCGTGCTTGCCCCGTTCATCCGATCAGCTGATAAACCAGATAGACTTCTATCCATCTTGTCTATATTTTCTCCTTCTTATTTATGTCATCTATTAAACTAGTTAACCATGGCAAAGGTTACGTATCATACGTAATAGTTTCGTTTCTTATTTTATATCGGATGGAATTCGTTCGAACGTACTCCTAATTATTAGGATTTTTAGTAGCTTATAGAGAACGTGGATTATTTTATGTATGCCAAGGTTCATTCGTGATACGGATGAATGGAATCCGTCTGTTGACTGTTATAAAGAGTTAAACGATAGAAAAATTACGGAGGAAGACAAACTCTTCTGCCATTTCGTAGGATGCGTGTTAGTTCGGCGTAACCTTTTTTTTTCACTTCTGGGCGTGGCCTGGCACGGCTGTTACCTACTTAGGTTAACGACACCGAAACGTGTCACGGCAATTCATTAGCGTAATGAGACACAAGCGCAACATAGGCTCCCGACAGCTTGACTGCAAGGCTGCATCGATTATCGCTCGAACGACTTTACTCATGGAAAAGGATGCGTTTCTATTTTCAAAGTGTTTTTCATTTTACTTTTTCTTCTTCTTGTTTTTTCTTCTTTTTCTTTTTTTCCTTTACTCGAGCGTACCAACGTCGACTTCTGAGTTGCTCGAGGGCAACAATCCATTGGATTTAGACGATACGTCCAGCTTGGACTGCCACTCCGAATACGGTCGGATGGACGTTTCTATTCATCGATTCGATTTATGTCGAAAGAGAAAGAGCGAAGGAGGGAGAGAGAGAGAGAGAGAGAGAGAGAGAGAAGGGCGGAGTGGTACATCCTTCGGTCCTTCTGAGAATTTAACCTTAACTCTTTGAAAGACCTTTCTTTTTCGATTCGATTCCTACGAGAGTGAGAACGAAAGATCGAGATATACAATAGCTGGTGGTTTCTACTTACGTTTCCAGGAATGGCGGCGCTGATGAAGAGGGCCAGATTGTCCGGCCACGGTAAAAGCTTGTACTGCTCCCACCACCTCTTCACTACGAGACTCACGTAGAATCCCAGGACGAACGACATCGGAATCGATTCGCTCGAGTTCCCGAAATAATAACGTATCTTTTCGAAGATTCTGTAAAATAATGAATAAAATAATCGTATGCGTTGTTTAAAATGTTTCCAGGTTATTTAAATTTATATATTAAAATTATCTTCGTTTTTTTTTCTTTTATTTGCCACAATTAATATTATTTAACTAGATTACAGATAGGGAATAGAGATGGAGAGGAAGGTAATATTATAGCTTAACGAATTTGTACCACTTATCAAATTATATCAAGTTATAGAAGATCAATAAAGATAAAGATATTTATTTTTCTTCGTTCGAAGGCTATAAAGGAAGTTCATTAAAAGCATACTTCTACGATTTTATCTTTTTCTTTCTTTTTTTTCTTTTTTTCTCTTTTCTTTTTATTATTATAATTAAACGAATAGTTATGAATCATCGTTGATAGTTATGATCAATTGACATTTCGTATTGAAGAAAATTCTCACGTTATCACTAAACGATTCTTACTCGATTCTTCAATATATTTCAACGAACGTAACCAGTTCTTGATGGAATTCCCGACGATAATGAAGTTCAATTCGCGCAGCTGAAGTATTATTGACATAACGCTACCCATATCTCATTAGTCACCGAAAAAACATACGTTGCTTCATGGTAGCTTAAAAATGACGAACGTCCAGAAAGTCATTATTCATCGATTATCATTCGAGGATATGCATTGAGGAGAAAGAAAAAGGAAGAAGAAGGAAGGGAGAAATGGAAAAAAAAGAAAAAGAAAGAGAGAAAGAAAAAGAAAGAGAAAAAGGAAAAAAGATGAAAAAGAGAGTGAACTCGACGTTCCGTGGATGCAACAATACGCGATCTTTTCGATGCATCACACCACGAGTAACCTGTCTTGCTCGTTTCGCTCCTTTTGTGCGCGTCCTTTATCGTTTCTTTTACCTTCTTTTAGAGAGGCCCTAAAAACCAGAACTTAAACCAGCCCTACGCTTTCTAAATTTAGAAGCGACGAATCGAAGCGATTTTAACCGGCCGATCTTTTTGCATCCTCCTCTCCTTCTTCTCTCCTTTCCTCTCATCTCCTCTCCTCACCACTTTTAGCCCGGCATAAATAACAGGTTACGTTTTATGCGTTTTTTAATGCCAAGCACGTTTAACTCCTCGGCACGTATGAAATATCATACGTTAAGCCTTTCGCGCTCGCGCAAGCGCGCGCGCCCACGGCTTATATAGGGCGTGCGTGAAGTAAATTGGATTTTTCTCTTTTAAGTAAATAACTTTCTTTCCTTACATTTAAATTCATTCGATTTGAATTATTATGAAACAATTTCAAATATGATTTACGAGCTTTTATGTTACCACGAAATCTTTTATTTTACCTATTTCCTACGTACGAGTACGATTTGTAAGGATTATAAGAAATTATTTTCCAATTTGCACGATAATGAAATGACGAGTTCTTTGATATTCAATCAAATAAAAGAAGCTAATTATTTTTATTACGATATAAGAAGAGAGAGAAAGATATATTCGATCGTCAACAATATTATAGGCAATCTTACGGCATAATTCCGCGAATTGGAAATCAAGTGAACCGTTAGGAAACAGTTTCCTATGTATCAGATTTGCGAGAGACTGCAGAAGAATATACGTAAGCACTTGTCCATGTCCGTAAAAGCGTGTCACGTTCATAACTACCGTTTAATGTACTTGTATTTGCATGAACTTCGCCCACGAAGGGTAAGTGATCCTAACTTTGATTATCTACGAGCTATCATCTTCCGATGGTAATGAACGTGCGTCTGGCTATCCGCGCGCGCGCGCGCTCGCGCTAAAAATAAAGAAACATTTTCAAAGAGTTTTCATTTATCTAATGCCCACTTTCGTAAAGTTCGTTCTAGGAAAAGTAACGAGTATTGAAACGACGAAATTGAAAAAAAAAAAGTGATGATGTCTGTAGAAATATGCGTAAAATCGTTTAGATAGAAAAGATATTGGTATTCGAAGATAAATGAAACGCTTGCACCTCTCGACGTGCGCGTTTATTCGATCTAAAGCGTGTCTAACGTGCTTGCAAGACTACGCTTTCAAACTACGCCGTTGATTTTTATTCGTCGTCTCTCGTAAAGAGAGAAATATCTACCTAAGACTTCTTCTTCGGTCGTTGAAAGTTTTATTTGTTTTTTCACTTCATCCTCTTCTTGGCAGACGCATAACGCGATACTGCGAAATTCTTAGTGAAATTTACTCGCGCATGTAATTTGTTAGGACTCACGCCAAAGAGAAGCGGAAGTTAAATAAAATAAAATTAAAAGAGTGAAAAGATAGAAAAAAAGGAAGCAACAGAAAAAAAGAAAAAAAAAAGGAGAACCGAAGAAAGAACGTGCCCGAGCTCGGTGAAATTGGAAGTTGAAGTGTTGTAAGAGAGAAAAAGAAAAGTAAGACAAAAAGAGATAAAAAAAAAAAAAAGAAGAAGAGAAGAGAAAAAAGGGAAAAAGAAAGATTGGCTCGTAAATATCAAAACGAGAACCCTGCCGAGAATCAAGCGTGATCCAGGTGCTCGCACAGCCTTCGGATTTTGTTGCCAATACAAGGCTGATCGAGAGTCGCTTTATTTGCGCCCATAAAAAGTACGTTTATGGCGGACATACGTAAAGAAATGCGCACGCGCACGCTCACGAATCATTGCCGATCCTCGTCGAATCACTCCTTTTCCTTCGTAACGAGCGCCAAAATGATTAATGATACATTCATGCGTAATATTTAAATCGAATCTTTATGGAAAAATGTCACTGTGACGGTTACAAATAATCCAAACTTTTCTTTACCTTCTCTTCAGATATTCAAAATCTCAAAAAATATCTTTCTAAATTATTATATCTAATTGAGAGTGTGGCAGAAGTTCGCAAGTTTGAAGCATTAAACACTTGCGATGATATTTTTAATCTCACCCACATAAATCACAATGACTTTTTGTCCTTTTAAAATTTAAAATTTTCTTATTGAGATTGTAAAGATGTTTAAAACGCAAGATCATCTTCAATTTTATATTGAATATTATTGATTGGGGGTACTCATATACTCACGCACGTTGCTGCTCGTTGAGCGCATATCGATATGTAAAATTGATGAGGTAGTAAACGAAGAGGTAGGCCAGTAATTCCCGCCAGATTAGTTTGTAAACCGATCCCCGCCATCTGAAAACAAAGAAAACGAAATAAGATTAAGAATACGTTAAAAGAGATTACATATATATGAAATTATGTGAGCTAGATAGAATACGATGTGATAGAATAATAGAAACACGTTCGATAAACTCGTGTCGTAACTTCTTTTCGTCAAAACTTTCTGATTTCGTGTGAACGAACTTCACGGCTGCAACTACGAAATGTCCATAGTCATCATCTATCTTTTTTTTTTTATCATATATGAAAAAAATTCGCTCTTTTACTAGGTCCCTTTTCTATCGTCATCGTCACTTTTCTATATATGTAAACGTATACATAAAGAGACAGAAATTGTATGTATATAACGAACTTCCGTGACTCTCTACTCAGCGCAATTATTCTTTCTTCGCCATCTCGAATCTATGGTTGTAGTTTGTCTCGACTGTGCGAAACGTCCGTCCGGCTGTTCCGTTATTTCTGAGGTTTGCTTCGTGTCGACTCACGTATCTTTGCTCCGAAGTACGCTGAAACTTCGATTATCCGTTACATTTACCGAATTACACCATTTTCTGTGTCACCGAGACGCAGTTTAATCCACTTCGGCGAATATTTCTTGCTAAGCAACAAGATCGGTTCACGGTTAGTAAGGCTTTTTTTAAAAAAGGAAAAAGAAAAGAGACGATATTCTCCTTTCTGCTTCGCAGAAGATATTCATCTTTTTTTCCTGTCCCCCCTCCTCCCCTAAGGAATTACACAATTGTGCAACATGTTTGTTTATATCAAAAGAGTATTACAAATTTACTTTTATTTAAATTTCAACGTTGGCCCTGGACTAATTCCAATTTTAAACGTATTCATATATAAATATTCACAGACGAAGAGTGAAGTAAATACGTCGCGAATCAAATGTGTGTCAGGGATGGTTAGTTCTCCCGAAAGAAGGAGAATAGATTTCAACGGTATTTTACGACATTCAAACGCAATTGTTTATTATGAATATTTCAAACGGTTGAATACTCAACTTCAGTGGTCAGAATAGAAATGCGAATGAAATTGACAACTTTGTGGTATTTCAGAAAGAGTCATGGTTCAATACCATTATATTATGCTATTTGATTTTCCAATATTTAAGACATTCGCCTTGAGTGATTTTTACTCAAAAAATACAAAAATGTTGTGATTTCTCTTTTTCGAAAACTCGTATAACATGACGAAGAATTATTAAAATTAATAGAAAATCTAAACTTGTAATTTGTATTTGATTTAAATTTCTTTCCACATGTATAATTTTACAATTCTTTGAATAATGGCAATCCGCTTTGAACGTGAAAATCAATCATTACTTTTATACAATCAATAGAAATATCATCTTGAGATAATATGATGATTCTTCATTTTACATTTTTCATTTTAAATAACATTAATAGATTTTATCTATTAATGTTATTTAAAAAGAAATAAAATCAATGTTATATGAAAATAAAATTATAACTTATGATTTTGACGTGCTATTAACCACAAAAAGACTGCTGTACGAAAAGAACGCAATGCGGCAATCAAGAAATATGTTAAAAATACTTGGAAACATTTAATATTCTCATATGATTTGTGACAGACACAAAAAATACACACGATATATTTCGTTCTCCAGAGCGAATGTTAAATGTATAAAAAAAAAAAAAAAAGAAAGATACATACGTCTCATCTTTTGAAACGAATGTGTTCAACTGATATTACAAATGTAATAACTTAACCCCTTATCATTCGAAGTGTACCTGTCAAGCACACTGTCGATATCAAGCGTTCTACTTCAAGTGCACCTGTCAGACACACTAGACTAACTAGCTTATTTCTTATTATGCTTCAGTCACACGATTCTATCTCCGAATTTCAAATGCTTATTGTTCGGATTTTAAATAATTTTCTATTTCATTATGTTCCACGTCCATTCATTTCACAATAACGACGAGAATGAAAAAGAAATGTCGCGATGCTAAGTCCTAATTATTATTACTATTAACTTGGAAAGATAAAGAAATTATCAGGACACTTAGCACGTATCATATTTTAAAAACAAAACATATGAACAGATTTCGACGAAATGATATCATGGATATTTCAAAAGAAAATTTGACATAACTGATTATCATTAAAATTGTAAAATGAAAAAAATTTTGAAATGAATAAAGATTGTCTTGAAATAAATCAAAGATTACTATTTACGTGTTATCGTCAACTTATTTAAACGTAAAATAATATGTGAATAAATTGTAAATTGACAATCGCGTTTAGATGACTAAAGCGTTAAATCAAATATTAAATATATTTTAATAATTTAACGAACGATCCAAAATATAATTTGGTTCGACATTTCAACGTAACAAATATATTATCGAACGACGTAGGGATATATTAAAAGGAAAGAAAGGATAGGATGTCTGGTACAATGAGAACATTCCAAACGATGAGTCCAACTACCGTGACGATATCGCGTGGTGTTTTGTTCTCCATATATATATATATATATATATATATATATATATATATATATATATATATATATATATATAAGTACTATAGTAAGCTGTGAATGAACAGAATAGCAAATGATCGATGAAAAAATTTACATTATATATACGTAAAATCATATTTTATAATACAGATCTTTGTAAAATAAATTTCTGTAGGTATATTAAATCTACCAAAAATCATATATACGCGCGTACTATATTAAAATTCGATTTCAAATATTTTCAATAATTCATTTGTTTCGCGAATTCGTCGTATATATGTTGGTATCGTTGACGTTAACTTTCCTACTATATTTTATAACTATATTTTATAACAATTTCTAATTATCGTCATCGATTATACGCCCGATGCGCAATTTTGTAAAGGTAATCATAAAATAATACGTGTAATTCTAATTTCTATTAAAAGATCAATTATATTGTTATTTCTTTGGGCTTAATAACCTCTAATGAGTTGACTAATTATTCCAACTGTTAGCATCAACGAGAGTTTCTACATTTGTAGAAATTTGTTATTCGCTTTATCGATTCTAATTCAAAAAATTATCCTCCCTGTTTATTAACGTTCCGATACTTCATAATATGACTCTAATGTATATTAATTGATCGATGATTCGCATTATTTTCTTTTGCAATTAGAAAAAGAAGAACGATTAGGACTATAGGAGCGATGCGATTAGAACTATACGATGAGTGGAAGCTTAATTAAAATCGGCTCATATGCATTCCTTTCACTTTTACAGAATTCTTGCGAGAATACCAATAACGTTAGAAATCAAGAACCATTAGAAAGCGACATTGAACGAAACAAAGATAATTTTCCTCGTAAAAGTTCTTCTTATCTGAAACGAGTCATCTGAAAATGGATAGCGGAGAAGTCGCCGAGACATGTGGCGTCGTTGGCGCCTTTCATTATTATTGCTGGTGAATAAAATCACCAATGGCGGAATCGAGAAACGATATAAAGGAGGTATAAAAATGAGTATCGCGCGAATAAAACGAAATGGGAGTAAAAATAACAGAGGAAAATCCTTAAATATTATGGTATAGCCAGTTAAACAAGATTTTACGTACGATAAATCATCATAATTTATTTCTTTACGTGAACAAACAACGACTTCTTCGAAGAAACCTTTATTTAACGATGAAATACTCTCGTGGAAATTATTATAAATATTTATCTTTATCGAACGAAAAGTCTCTCGAAATCAGTGAAAGTATAGCGGTAAAACGATCCTTCTTTGAACGGATGAAGTCGTTGAATTTCGATACTCGTGAAATACCTTGCGAAATAGCATCGTTAACAAAACTTGGACACCTTGGATATCCTCCTTTCTTTTCGTCTCTTTCCTTAAAGATCATTGATGTTTTTATAATCAATTCGGATCTATATCATAATTTAAATGTTAAACATACTTAACGGTCGTTCTTCTTTCTCTTTTTCCTTTTTTTTTTTTCTTTTTTCTTTCTTCTTTTCACATCGGTCAAAAATATTCTCTCGCAAACGCATTATATTATAGTTTTGGTGAAATCCTGTTTTGGATTGAAAGTACGATGATTATTTTTCGCTTTTAATGGCACGAACATGTCGATTACGACGATTCGAAGTATTGCTCTCACGAGTTACGAGTTATTTTCATTGTTTTCGTGTCAGTGGGTCATGGTAGGAGGCATTGCCCCATTGCTTTCGTGCAGTGACATTCGATGACACGACGCCACCGTAAATTCATCCATGTTACACACTGCCGCAACAGCTACCGCACCGCGCATAATCGACGTTTATTCTATCCTTCTGTGTCTCGGCCTTCGTCGACTTAACGATTCTCCTCCGCCGAAATGACGTGGGAATATTAAAAAAGAACGTAGCTAAACGCGAACGTACGAAATGCGTATTATGACAAGCACACGCCACAACTCAGATCGATTAAATCATATATATTTTTGCTTGTTATTCATTCGATTATATTGTATTATTTTCAACTGTTTTTAATTGCCATTTGAAATAAACGATCAGTATTTATGATGAGATGTCAAATGACGTAATATAAGCGGTCAATATTATATCGAAAAATTTTTGTCAGTATTTTGATTAAAATATTTCTAAATACAATAATTCGTTGCTATTACGCATGAACGTTAAGTAATTATAATAAAACAAGACGCAAATAAAAACTAACCCATTATTATTTATACTGATTACTTCAATTATTGATAATTGTTTTTATACCGATCACTTATATGATTTTATTATTTAAATACTTATTAAAATATTCATTGTTTTACAATATACATACTTGTTGATAATATAAATAAAAGTAATACTTCATTCTGATATTATATTTTGATTAATCATCGTTTCGGCTTCGTAATAAATGTATTAAAAGAAAGATTATTATTACTATTTATTATTGTTCATAGGAAGAAAAATCTCATGTAGAAAAACGTTGATATCGACGGTGCATCAGCGATGTCGACGGTGTTTCAGCGTAACTGAAAACT